ATTAAGAAGGAACCATCATGGACCCAGGCCCATGTGTGGTATGTACCACCAGCAGACAGAAGAAGTGACTGACATCCAGAAATCCTACCACTGACCAGACAAAGCTGGACTGAAAGTCAGCATTAATCATGGCAGGAACAAGCCGTAAGTACAAGATTCATAGAGGCAGGAGTCTACACTCGAGGCAAGACCCCAGGTGCAGGCTGCAGAAAGATGCTCCTGAGACAATTCAGCACATGACAGCCAGGTGCAAAAACGCCATAACCAAGTGGCCGGCATAATATACAGGAACATGTGTGCCGAGTATGGCCTAGAGGTCCCTAGGTCAAAATGGGTGGGTGGTTGAGCTAAGATCCTGTGTGACTTTCAGATAAAGAAAAACTGGAGATAGACATAGTAGTGATGGACAAGCAGAGGAAGACAGCCGCAGTGATAGATGTAGCTATACCGAGTGATATCAACATCAGGAAGCAAGAGAAGTACCAAAGCCTGAGAGAGGAGAAGATGTGGAGGATGAAGGCAACAGTTGTCCCAGTGGTGTTCGGAGCACTCAGTGACCCTCAAGCTAGAACAGTGGTTCCAGTAGATCACAGGATCAACATCCAAGATCTTTGTCCAAATGAGCGCAGTCGTTCTGCACAGAACCCTCAAGCTCCCAGGCCTCTGGTAGACTACCCAAGCTTGAAGGATAAAGACCACCCACAGGGGTTAGATGGGGACTTTTTATATATTATATAAAAAAATGTATAACCATATGTTGGCAAATCAAAGGTATCTAAAACAATTGTTTTATTCTCTGTTCATTAAAATACAGCTAGCATAAGGTGTTCTCTTTTAACCACCACTCAGTGTTCGCTATAATGAACCTGTGTAATATATGGTGGTGGTTTAAATGAGGCATTCAAAATGCAATTTTGTAAGACAGAGTGTGGAAAGTTATGCATGAACAAAGGCTAAACTAAGCCTTAAAAAAGAAAAAGAAAAGAAATGGGTAAATTGTCAACTTGCTAAACTTTCTGTCACTGCCTTCCCATTGTTTGGAAATGTCACAGAGTCATACTGTGAAGGTCAATAGTTTAGAGCATAGAGAAGCAGACAGATACTTCAATGTTGCTAATTATAGAGGTTTTCAAACCATAAAGTTCATCTATAAAGTTGCAAAATATTTTCAGGTACGGGGTCAAAGTAGATGCAGAGCAGAAATACCGCCTGAGAATAAAGTGGCCCATAGTAAGAGCACCTCTACTGATTGTGACACACAAGCCATGAGGACTTTTTATTGTCCAAAAGTTTGCATAAAGAGTCTGCAATCAAAAGCAATCATATATATAGAAATATAAATATATATATAGAAATATTAGAACTAAGTGCTAGAGGCTGGTTAACATACCAGAGTAAGAAAATTGAGATTTCAGCTTCTTTAAAAAAAGGACTTCGAAGTTGCTGAGTCTTACAAAATATAACTTTATAATATGAATAGCCAGTTGTTTGGACAGAAACAAGAGCCCAATGCAGCCCCATGGACAAGGATTGAGATTTTGAAAAACAAAGACAATGTGGCTGTGTTAAGAGCAGCCAGAGCTGGAAAAACAAATTCTCTGCAGGGGTCAACCAGCATATTTCTACCTCATCATGGTGGCAGGAGTGCACAAAAAGCACAAATCTCAGATGGAAGCTCAATGTCATGCAGCATTCTCATCCCTACTACACTACTAAAGACCCACAAAGACAGAGCACAGATTTTTGGTATACCAAAAGAAGCAAAAGCCTACATTCATGAGACTGCTACCCTTTCACAAGGAAGCTAATAATGGATGAATACGGGGATCTGAAGACTGTGTCTTGAAACTTGTTTTAATATTAATTAAGTTGGTTTCCAATTGTCATAGTTTGTTACATCATAACGTTTACTCTAACTCAAGTTATTAATGATGAGTGACTACTAAACAGGAACTTAGATTTTTTTGACATAGGAGGAATAAATTCAATACATTTTCAGGGGTGCCTTTGGGAACTGGATTTCGTGGAGAGTTAACAAAGAAGAGGTATACAGTTCTAGAGTTATCGGGCTTATATGGTTGATTGCGAGTCAGCTAATGTAAAGTTTTCTGATATTTCCTATGCATTTATTACTGATTACTATTAAAATGTTGAAAGTTAAACGTGTATATACACTCAAAAATAAAATTTACAATGTGCAACCTGGATATCATGTTAATGAGAAATGGAAGGACAACCTAATATATTTCCTCTATATACAGCTGTTGCTGGCTCAGAGGCATAAAAATATAGATATAAAATGGTTTCATATTGATGTATTTTAGCTTGCTAGCATTTGTAGAAAAAAGCAGAAAAAAGAAAACATTGGGGCTAATGGGAATGTCATTCAGACATCTGATGCCTGTATAAAATTTCAAGGCAATTCATCTGACAGCTGTTAAGATATTTCAGTCAGGGAAAAAGCATCAAGAATTAGCAATAACAAAACCATCAGCACTTTTCTTTCTATCATAACTGAAAAAGCCACAGCGAGACAGAGCTGGTACAAATATCTAAAAGATAAATTGATAACCTTTTAAAGCGGGATAAAAATATATATGTACTCTACTAATTTTTAAGTAAGTCTGAAACACATCCATTATTCCACAAACTCTGAACCGTCTTTTCTTTTCTTTTTTTTAAACTGTTGAGTCATCTTTTTATTACTCTTTAATCTCTTCAGTCTTTATCTACCAAAGGATCTCACCACCACCATCCTTGAAACAAACTACAGAAGGGACTTTGTTCAGTCCTTGGAGTGGGTGCACAAACAAATCTGACATCTAACCAGGCTAAACTCTTCAGGGAAACTTGGTGGCAGCCGCTTGCCATTACTCTCATGATTGGATCAATATTAATACAGCGAGTGAGTCAGAGACCTTTTTTAAAGGTGTGGAGAATGGGAGAAATAGTAAAGCAAGTCCTTCCCATTATTAGTTGTTTTTAGTGATAATTAAATGTGTCACCTTAAGAGAGCATTTAGTAACTAAATCCTCCTCCTGAATAATTGACTACATCTCCAGATACAAAAGCAACAGCTCTCCACCCATAACAGACATTAAAGCTAAAAGCATTAGATGCCTCCAGAGAGCTACTCCCACTACCAGTGCAGAGAGAAACACACAGAGAACAAAGTGTTTCCAATGTCAAACACGAAACACTCATGTTCTGTGCTGTCAGCTGTGGCTGACTGATAATACACTGAGTGCTGCTGATTTCCATATATGCACGGATATTTCATATTTGTACATTTTAACTACGAAATCAGAGAATTAAAGAACAGCGCCTGGCAGATAGCTGATGTAAAGCACTTTTGTAGTTCTATAAAGAGTTTTCCCTAAATATTTCTATAATTTTTCTATAAAATATGGACAATGTCATACACTGGTTCCATTGTGGACATTTGTCAGTCGCAGTGTAATAACCCTCTAAACCATACACTGCTTTGTCTATTTACTTGAAACTGGACCATAAATTATCATCATGCTATACTGATTAGGACCTGAATCTAGCAACTAAGACAACAAACATAAATCAAGTGATCACTATGGCCACTTTCTCAAATGTCTACACGTGTATTTATTTATCTGTTTTTGGCAATTTTAAGAGTTGCCCCCATTACCATATGGTTAGGGTGGAAGGTTTACAGCATTTCTAGAGCTTATATGAATCCTTCATATACAAGTATTTGGTCTTGTGCACTTCTTGTTGGTTATGCTCTGGGTTTCTGTGGGTAGGTTCATCTTCTGAATGCCTCCAGGATAAAATGAGGCAACTTTCTCCCTCTTCTACACAAGATGTTTGTTTCTGTGTTTCATGGTATTGCAAGCGGGATTTAAAATGTAAAAAACAGCTTGAAAACTTCACAGATGGCTTAAACTATAACTTGATGAACCTTATAATGTTGAATTTTATTCCAGCTTTAAAGATGGGGTGATGTCTTCTTCACTAACCTCAAAGTTTTAAATTAAAACCCCAGTTTCATTTTATTCATTCATTTTTCTTTTGCGTGTCTATAGGCACTCCAGTGTTTACACTGGACATTATTTACTCAATTTACTGCTGACTTGACTTGAATCCAGAAATCTGTATTTTGACTAGTGAATACATCGTAGCATGTTTAAATTCGACTTTTCATATCTTCTTTTCTAGCTGCTATGCTGTAAAGCACAACTCCATTTTTAACTGAAGGCATTTCTTTCCCATTGAAAAGCAGATTTAGCCAACGCCCTCCTTGGTTTTTTGCCAAACTGGTGACAGGTTCTGTCTTGATTTAGGTATGTGAAAGACAATGGGAGATTAATAAAGATACAGTCAATGATCTCTAGGACAAATCACCCTCCCATGTCATCCTTGTTTCCTCAGCCTTGTCCTTGTGCCAAGGCCTCTTTATGATCTACCAGCTGACTGAGAGTAAGGAAAGTGCTGAGTATCCCACTAAAGCTCTCACACACCTTAAGCTGAATTAATCTTATGTTAACATTCAGCTGACGATCTGTCTGTTTGTGTGCATACAGTAAAACACTGTCACGCCAGACACAGCAACAACTTTTGCGTTATGACTACACTCATGCAGCATTGTGTGCATCTTCAGCTGTTTGTCAGTTTGAAGCCACATTAAAGCTTGCCAGTAGACACACCCACAACTTGTTCAGTGCGTCTGTGCCTTCTTTTATGCCTCTTGTATAACATTACAATCCCATAAAACTGACAACCACCACCACACTCAACGTGTTTCATTATGTGCCAGCAGGGCAATATACTGTACCGAAGGGAACTGTTGTTTTCCAGAAACAAAGACGTTAATGAGCTATAATGCACTTCATGTTCCTGAGGAATAGCAAAAAAAAAAAAAACTGGCACAAGAAAGAACTTTAATATGGGACCACAGTAACAGCACCTCTGCAGAGGTCAGTGCCTCACTCTGGTGTGTTGAGAAACAATAATGTACGAAGGCTTACCTTGTGTGACACGTGAGATCCCACGTGGAGAATTCATGGTCATCGAGGTTAGTGACTACCTTGGCTGCCCTTGGCCAGACGGCGTGACGTTTGATAGGAACCAGCTCTTGACCGATCTCCCGTGTGGGGTCACGACTGCAGCAGGCACCCATCCTTCGACAGCAAAACACTTCTTTGTTTAATGACTAGGTGGTTCAACTCTTACTGGTATCTCCTACGGGTTCCTGATTTGCTTCCCACCATGCCAGCTGTAAGCATCTTACTCCTATTGTCCTGTCCAGTGTCACCAGTCCTCTCTCTGTCCACTCCCCATTTCTGACCACCCTAGTACGCGTCAGATGATTTCTCTCTCCAGGCTACATTACAAATGTTTTGGTGGCCTGCCCCAGGCAACTTTGCCCTCCTCCTTATTCTGACAGAAGTGTTACTGTCTCCCACAGCTAGCCAGACTTTAAGGGCCACAACATTGTATCAAGCATCTTGTTGTTACTCTCTCTCACTGTTTCCATCTGAGGCCTTCAATCCCTCCTTTGTGTCTGTCCTCGTTTGCTCAGTGAGGAACACAGATGGGCGCCCCACACTTTCCAGTCCCGAGCTTTGTTTTTTCTTCATAGACAACAGTCATGTAGAAAAGAGTGAGACAAGTCAGTCCTACGCTGCAGCGATGTGTGGGCTTCTCATGCGGAGAAATTCAACAGTTGCAATAAGATTTGGCTCCATGTTTCCATTTGTAGGCTCTACATTTCATGCATTTTTTTCCCATGTCTGAAGTTTATTATAGCACAATCTTCTGTAGACCTTTAGAGAAAATAAAAACAGACTCTTTCTAGTCTGTGTTGAGTACAAGGTATTAGAATTCTGCCTTTTTTTAAAAACAACAACACATCTTTCTTGTCCTTTATTGGCCACTTTCAGACTCTAAAAGCTGAGGATCTTTTGCCGTTTCTTTTTATGGACAATAGATCTGCTTTGCTATGCCATTGAGTGCCAAAATATATATATTGCTACATATTTGTAGCAATTCATCAAACAGCTGTTAAACAACCACAAAATACTCTTTGTGCAGTCAATTCCCCTCTCTTCCACAACTTCTTAAAATACATGTCTGTCCTTCAAACTCATCCTCCCTCCTACAAACACCCCAACAACATCCTTTTTAGTGTTGTAACAACAAATACCTTTCCTAGTTAACTGGGTTTATTTACTCAAAGATAATGGACATTATTGTTTATTAAATTATGACAAAAAAATAAATAAAATATTTCTATCAAATACAGCAACAATGCCTTTTACTTGGATCACTGCCGTGCAAATCAATACACATGCGAGTAAATAAGGGAAGTTACTCGCATGTGTAAGAGAAGCAAATACAGTCAAGACATAAAAATTATTGTTGCTTTTTGGTTTCCTCACCTAGAATCACCTGCCTAAGAGAGATCATGTTGACTTGTTGTTCACTGCCATGACTGCGTTATCTATCGTTCGTCATAGTGTGGCTTGCTAGTGTTCCACACCTGCTATTTTCAGGAGCAGGCAAAACAGAAAAATTAAATGGGGGGGGGGTCAAAGGATGCAGAAAAAAATACAAGGGAAAAGAAGGGAAAAATCAATGTTACGCAAAGCCAAGGTGACTTTAATTTATGAAGATCCTGGGATTAGGAGAGGTTCCAACAATCATTCAAGGCCACAGGCCCAAGAACACTTCACTGATGTAAACAATAATTAGCACATCTTAAAATTCAGGTAGTGTAAAATCAAAGGATTTATTTCATGAAGTCTACTATTGGCAAAGCAGCTCTGTAACAGAAAAAGCCAAGGCTGATGTACTACACAGCCAAAGGAAAGTAACCAAATCAAAGACCCTGTCTTTTTAAGTTGCTTTTTAAACTAACGCAACCTGATACAAAGCAAACCATATACTTTGTATAGAAGATGGGTGTAGCCTCCAGACATGAAAAATTATGCCCTGATGCTGCATTCTTCTTAGAGTCTGCAAAGTATAACAGCAAAAAGATTGTGTATAGAAAATGATCAATACACAAACTAGCATATGACCTCAATTTATAGTTTTATACTGACTGCTAAAATACTGACTTTAGCATAACTTGTTGTTCATTCTATAAATTACAGTCTCATTTAGACAAAGCATAGTATGTTTAAGGGTATTGGTATTGAATGGTTGATTTCATAGACTGAGCCACCCCTCGAACAAAGATCATGATGGCATGTTTGTTGTGGTATTTCCCCTCTTTGTTGTGATCACTGTTGGAGTTGTTACTTTAAAACATCATTATTACAGATATTACACAGAACACCTTTCTTAAAAGTAATGCAGTACATTACTTCATTACTCGAAATGAAGTAATGTAAAGGAAAAAGGGTTCTTGGCTAGCTTAGCGTTAGCATGCTGCCTGTACAGATGCTTGCAAAGAACCGAAGCTGTGTTACCAGAATAATGCAGTCGTTTGTTTTCTGGATGCAATTTGCACTTTACCATTTATCTCATCCTTTTATGCAATAAAAATAAACGTCCATATCCATGCCACAGACTCCGTCGCCATTTCCCTCCTCTGACACGTCAACTGAAATTAGCTGACTGCAGCGCAAACGCAAGAAGCTGGATCGATGCGCAGGCAGACTAACAATTCAAACAAACTAGACTACCAGACACCAGTTTTCTACAAGAACCGGTTCTGGAGTCCCATCCCTACTGTTAACAGTGTTAAAGTTTATTTTCCAAGCTCAAATAAAAATTTAGATTGACTGTGCAAAAGGGGAAGCAGCAAGAGGTTAATGTTTTCTGATATGAAAAATAGCTGTTGAGTACAGTGGCGGGACATGACAGACATAACTGCACTCTCATCTTTCAACATGCAGGAAATCAGATGTGGCTGACATTTCAATAGATGGTATGTGAGTTTATGAATGTTTAAATGGTTCTTTTTTTGTATTTCCTTTTCATAATAGAAAAAAAAAACTCATTTTGAACTTTGTACCCCTACAAACTGATTAAGACAAATGAAAAAGGCACCAGTCAAAAGTCAAGTGTGTTCAGAACATTCTGGACTTTGTAAATGATCACAACAGGACACTTTGTCATTAAGAGTTCAGAAAAGATCTGCAATTACCAAAAGTATTATAATGTGTAGTCATGTTTTGGATCGCAATCCCTTTTAAAATGGAGGACCATTTGGAGCAGTCATTTTAAAATTGTTCACATGCACATAATCATTTTACGGCTGTAAGCCTCTTAATCATTTTAATAACTTTTTTGGGTGCCTGTGGCTATTTATCCAATACCAGACCCCTTTCTCTGTTTGTCAGCATATGTATGAATTGAAAAGCACACAAAAAGCTGCACAGAAATTTTATGTGCAACTTGTCATCCTGCTTTGTTTTTACATCTTATCCATCATATTCCCATTAAATGTCACAATAAAGCACATATCAGCCTGCCAGATCAGTGCTGTACTCAGATTCTCTGTAAGAGTCTGTGGATTAATACCACAGCCTCAGGGCAAGGTTAAATATTCAAGAGATCCATTTTCAGACCAACTCCAAAGATGGTGTTAAACACACACACACACACACACACACACACACACACACACACGACCCTAAAGACTAAGGTCTTTCCCAAAGAGAAAGACAAAAGAAGAGGAAAAGAAGAGAAGAGTCCCTTAAGAATACTGAAGGTGCACTGTCAGGAAAACTACTCCTTGAAGAAAGTGCCAGTATGTGGATTGTGGAGTCTGTTTGACACAACAATGAGTTGAGGAAACGCATAAATTATAGTTAAGAGCAAAAACCTGAAATGCTGTGAGTTTGATGAGGGCCTATCACTGCCACATTTAAAGCCCAGTAATTTACATATTGGGTTTCACTTGTTTAATCCACACTAAAATCCAGTGGGTAAAAAACAGTGAGCTGGGCAGTTATCCCTCTAATCTCTATAATCTATATAAAGCAGCACATACATGTCTCTTTTCTGTAGATGCTGTACTATTCTCATGATTTAAAGCTCATTAGATACAAAGGAAATAAATCAGTTTTCATATATGTTCATCCATACACATAAGATAACAACCTTTTACAAAGGTATTTAAAATAAGTTTTAGGTATGGTTTGATACAAAGGAATTTATTCATAATGTGAAAATGTAATTCCAGAAGAAACTGCAGAGAAACATGTGTACCATGCAAATTAAAGGTCACAAATATCTGTTAAATTTTGATGTGCTATTGTCTTTATTCAGTATTGCACAAAGTAATATGTCAATCTCATCTTTGCAGGTCATGTACACTTAACATCCTGTAACACCGACATTTGAAAACAGTGCTTTGTGAGTGCAAAGACATAAACACTTTTATCAAAGTGCAGGTTGCAATAAGTATAAAATGAGTCTAAAAGGATCAAAGAAGTCTTTCAAGTTGGTCAGAGTTAAGAGTTTCTCCAGTATTACGAACCAGTGAAAGAATGTGATTAAGCACACAAACACACAGAGAGCTTTTTTTCAAATCATTAGCCAGTGGAGATGCTGTCTGAATCTCTGTGGGTTTTCAGGATGAATAAAGTGAGTCAGATATAAACACTGACTCATCTTGTGTCTTTTCATTGATACCTCCATCTGCAGTTCAAAGTTTTAAATCTCATTTTTTGATCTTACTTTTTTTTTGATCAGAAACGTCTTTATTTTAACTTAAGCTTTCATTACCAAATTACTTCAAATAACTAAATTGGAATCATTTGAGAAACATTATTTAGACGGGTGCATTTTTCCACCCACAGTCCCTAAAACCTTGGTTGAAGGAAGAATTTAAGGGAATGGCTCATCGTTTTTTTTGGGCGCATTAGCTAAAAATGTCCAAAATGAAATCAGGCGTAATTGTCAAAACCTGGTGCAATATTAGCAATACTGAATAAGTGATGACTGGATGCTTGACTCATCCAATTTATATAGAATTCGTACAACAATACCAGAAAAGTATTTTCATTAGGTGGACTTCTGTGAAGACTTGCTTATCAGAACATTTACTTTTTTATACTATAGTCATGACAAAAAGCAGTGTATTAGATCCCTTGGCAAGGCTTTCAGGACTGAAATAACTCTTCACAATTCTCACATTGATAACAAAGAGTGGTGAGCAACTGAAGGTAAGAGAAACAGAGAATAGGTAAGACACTGACCAAAATCAGCTACTGAAACATCTACTAAGCTACTGCTTTTCACATACCGTGTATGTGAAAAGCCTGGGGGAAACCGTGAAAGAAAAGGAAAAGGTAATAGAAGCAGCCTGAGCAGATGCCATCTCATGGGAAGGCTTCTAAATTCTGATGA